ATATATATATATATATATATATATATATATATATACACACACGCATACATATATACATACATACACATACATACAGAAACTGAGAGAAACCATGATGGACACCTTACTTTCTACGTACTATTATCTGGATTTAGAAATAATCTAAATTTTTGTTTTCATTTCTTGACATCCTGCCCTATGTATTTATTTGTACCTCGCCCACCAACCCCCACTCCCCACCAACACCCAGATGGACTGTATGTGGGAAGGACTTGAAACAATCAGAAGGAAGAGAAACTCCAAGAGGATTCACCTTATGAATTGCTGATTATTAAACAAAAGAAATTGCATATGAATTGGATATTGTATTTTTGTTGTTGTTCTAAACAGCCTGTACATGTTTTGTAACAAAAATACGATAAATAACAAAAGAAAAATGGTGTTTTGACAAAATGGAATTGTTGTTGTGACATGTTTGATTCAGAGTGAAATTAAGAGAAAGTAAAGTAAGAAAAGAGAGAATGGGTAAAGGAGTCAGAGAGGAAGAGATGAACAACACCCACGGTTAGACAACATGTCACCTTTTTGCTCTCTCCGTCCATTGTTGTGCGACTGTCTGTGCCGGTGTGTTCAAGTTTGTTTGTGCCACCTGAACTGGATATTATGCTTCCCCAATCCATTCTCATTCATCTGCGAAGCATTTAGCAGTTCTTCTAGGCACATTTTCCAAATCTCAACGTCCCTCTAACCACTCAAATGTGGCTTACATAGTTATTAATTTCATCTATTTTCAGTCACCTCCAACAATGGGATCCTCCCAATCAATCTGATGTTGGACTGTTAAGGAGTTATTAGGAGGATGGTCCAAAGATGATGCAGCCTATACCTGCTAATCACTTCAATGACCGTAGAGGCGGAGCTCCATTGATAGACCCACTGTTTGCCCTCCTGCAACAGGATCCTCATCCGAGTCCAGAGCTGTCAAGTGAAACCTATTGGTCCTTGTCTGTCAGGTCAATTAATGCAGCAGCCAATCTGGCATTGCGAGGATACGAGCATGCAGTGAGCGCAGACATACGACTGGCTGACCTATCATTATCTCTCTTCATTTCCTGTCGGGCCTGCAATCATCCTGTCTCAGCTCAGGCTGCTGCGTGATTAGTACAGTGCAGGATCAACAGCCCTGGCACGCAGAAAGCCAAAATCTGCAGACCACCTCATCCTAAATGATAGCAGCTGCATCACGGACGCTATACTATTTGCACTTCTAACAGAGTTTAAAGATGTTTGAATTAAAGGATGGGGCTGCACCACTGGTGTGATCTTCCATACAGTCTCCATATTGTTTGGGTTGGAGCTGATCAATGCAATATGTGAATATTATTAGTTAGGTGTGTAATGATAGCGTGATGTTAGCGGCCATGCAGTGTGTCTTCCCATATCACTTTTGTCAGCCTCTCTCAAGTCCCTTCAAAAGCCATGGAGGATATTATGCAAAACAACAATGTGTTTCCAGTTTTATATTGTTTAATCTTATTCCACATACGGATGTTTTCACTACTGCTCGTACACTCTGCAAAGGGCTTACTAACCCGTAACATGTGTAGTACAAAATCAAGTCGTACTTTAACTTTTGTGAACACAAACTATACATGAAGTATCATATCCTTAAATTGTTGTCAGCTCAGATCTTTACTACAATGGCTGAAGGTCAGAAGCGCAGGTAACTTCAGATTTATTATCACAATGAAAAAATGTTAAAAGAGCCTGTTAGATGAGCAAACATCTGTCTTGATATCATTCGGCAGAATTATTCAGTTTCTCCCCAAAGCAAAACATAATTTTGTTAGGAAAAGATTGACAGTCTATTTTTTTTTTGACAAGAAAAGACCGGAATTAATGCAATCAGAAGCTCACTTTCACCTAAAGTCTCCCGGGAATATACAATAATACTCCCAGCGGCCCTCAGCTCAATCATTTAATCAGCTAAGCCCCTCTGTTGCAAAGTGGCATGTGGCACCAAAAAAGACACAGCTGATGAGCATAAACATAAAGCATGGGGGGGGTGGGGGGCATATAGGAGCTAAACACAATCAGATGGCAGACATTCCCACTCTTAAAAACGTCAGCGTTTTGGAGCTTTCATGAACTATTGATGAGGTGCATATGGTGCGCTGGGGTCTGGAGTTGTGTTCACTAAAGTCAACCGGCCGTGAGTGATGAGCTCAACTGGCACTGTTGCGCATCTTAAAATGATTAAACTGCTCCCACATCAACTGCTAACAATTACAGATTTTTCCCACATTTATGGGAGTGTTTAATATTTAAAATTCACATGCAGGAAAGAAACTTCTGACTGCACCCGTTGCTGAAATTAAGATAGACTGTTGTGTTTAAGTGTGTGAGAGTGTGTGAAATAAAAGGATAGCCATTTTTTTTTTTTAAATCACAGGGACACTTTGATCAGCATAGTTTGGCCTTTGTCAGATGTGGTTATCTCTTTGTGTGCCAATAGGATTCAAACTTTCCCAACATTCCTTCCAATGTTCTCCCCCTATTCTGCATCCTCCAAAGACCATCAAACACACCCACCCTTCCCGAAACCCCATCAGTTACAACCTTCTAACTTTATTTTATTCAGTTGTCTGTTTTAAATAAATATATACAGTACTGTCTTTTCTGCTATCTTCTAACAAGCTCTCTCCACATCTGTCTTTTGGTCACTTTTGAAAACCCCCTCTTCATACAAGGAAGTGAGATGTTTCAGAGAGTACTGTACGTGTATAGTGATCTGCGAGAGGGACGGAGTAAAGCGTTGAGAAATGCAATTGTTAATTCCTCTGTGAAAAGCATTAAGATGTATTTTAATGCTGCAGACATACACAACAAATTACTAAAAAAATGATGATGCATTCTTGTAGAAATATTTTTAAAATACCCTTTTGCAATTAAATTATTTAAGAAATGTGACCCGATCTCCTGAGTCTTTATGTTGTGTTTTTAATTGATAATTCATCCATGTGGACTTCAAGTATATAGTTCTTCCATGAGGTACAATGCCAACACATAACCGCGCACATGTTATCCAGTCGAGTAATGCTGCTGGACCTTCAATACAAACACATTCACTTTACTGTTTAAATGTATGGCCGTCTCTCACTCCTGTAATCATGACCGGAACTGTATGTCGTTTTTCAGCAGTTATCACAATACGATTTATTGTTGATGAAGTGGTACCAAAAGGCCTCAGTTCAGAAAAACCTACCACACTCCCAGATTTAACTCTGCTTATCACTATAAATGCGCTGAGTGTACCTGTAAGAAGAAATTGTTAATTTTTCATCCAAAGCTCTGTGATTTGATGTTTGTCTTTCAAAAAGGTTTAGCCTGCATCATTCTCCTTGCCCTGGAAAAGCCTGAGGGTATTCAGAGTAACACTGTCTGTAAAAATATCTTTTGTAATGCTGTCTTTCATCATTTATAGCTACAGGCATCTGATGAATGGATATTGATCCTTGGGAGAAGTTACCCAGAGTTCATCTATTTCTAATGCTCCTTTAGTTGCCAAGTTAAAGACCACTATCCTTAAGTATTTTGCCAAATTTAGCTGCGATTAGCCTGAGTTAAATTGCACATCTGACCAAGAAGAAAGAAAGAAAAATGTAGCTGGCTAATTCCAAATCAGATCCAATTTCCCAAAAGTTACCTTAAAAACTGGCTCACAAGTTTGCAAGGCACATTGTCAAAATCAAATCAAAAGGTTTGCAATCCACAGAGCCATGCCAATGCCATGCAACACTAAAGCTCCCCATATTGTCTTTCAAGCCCACTAATTTATATGAGCTCCTCTCATCTCTGCAGGCACTGAGCCAACAGTCTTGTTTTTCCAGCAAAAAAAAAGGAAAGACGCTCAGATCATAGAT